ACCCTCTCATCTGCTGATGAGCACTTAGGCTGTTTCCAAATCTTAGCTATGGTAAATTGTACTGCTGGTGGGAATGCAGACTGGTGCAGCCACTGTGGAGAACAGTATGGAGTTTCCTCAAAAAACTAAAAATGGATCCCATATGAATCCATGCTGTTGCAAATGGTAAGAATTCTTTTTCTTTTTTTTACAGCAGTGTACTATTCTATTATGTAGATGTACCATCGTTTTTTAATCCACTCATCTGCTGATGAGCACTTAGGCTGTTTCCAAATCTTAGCTATGGTAAATTGTACTGCTGGTGGGAATGCAGACTGGTGCAGCCACTGTGGAGAACAGTATGGAGTTTCCTCAAAAAACTAAAAATGGAACTCCCATATGACCCAGTGATCCCACTTCTAGGAATATATCCCAAGAAACTAGAAATACCAATCAGAAAGGATGTATGCACCAATTCCTCTTATTATTGACTTGAACCAACAGAATTTCTTCTGATCCACAGCCCTCATAATAAAATCACATTTTCCAGAAGTATTATTCATAATACATGCAGAATCACTGATTGCTTTTTCTTCATCTTTTTTTCCTTGACCGTGTAGGTGTTTCAGTCTCTTGTGTTTTTTATTTTATGCCCGATAAGGGCTGTTTGAAAATTATTTCATTATCTTCATCATTCATTTCAGCCACTTCAGATTTTCGTTTATCCAAAAATGTTGGAGTACAAACTGGTGTGGGGCCTTGGCTATCCACAGTCTCCTCAGGAGTTTTAGGGGTAGCTGAAGCCTTCTTCTTCTTAGGTAAAGCCTGTCTATTTGTGGATTTCTGAAGGTCGGTGTTTGAAGTATTGCTTTTCTCCTTTTTATGTAAAATCAATGAAGGAAAAGCATAATTCCCTTCTTAGCTAGTCTCTTCCTGAGTAATTTTTCTTTCGTTTTTAAATCGCTCCTCCATCCGCAGCTTTTCAAGAAGTGTCCGGTTCTGATTATACCGTCTCACTGCTGGATAAGACGGATTCTTAAACAGAAGATGCCACTCTCTAAAAAGTTCTTCGTGTACTTTCTCAGGTGGCATAAAATGACACTTCAAGAGTCTTTCACCAAAAACGTAATTGTTCATTGTTTCAGCAACTATCTTGGCAACATCTTCAGATTCAAATTCCATGAAGGCATAGCCTCTGCTATTTCCAGTCCTTTTACTTCTGGACAGCCTGAATTTCTTAACAGTGCTAAACTGGGAGAAATATGCTTGGATCCGGGTTTCGTAAAGTGCTGGAGATAGGTGGCCCACATAAATTACTCCAGGAGTAAGTTGCTTCTGTTTCTTAGTTGCACTCCGGCGGGCCTGAGCCATCTCTTTGTGAAACTTGGTGTCCTCTTGCAGGTTCAGGGACAGGAGCAGCTGGACTGGGCCTGCGAAGACCGCCATGCTGACAGAGTCCGAGCCGCAGAGCTCCAGAGCAGACCCTTTTTATGCAGCAAATAAACAGCAACTCTGAATATCTGGCCTTAAAAATTCAGGGGACCACTCACTAACTACTTCTCTCCTGATTGAATTTTGGAATCTTTGAACAGGAATTTAAATGAGAATTTTTTTCTAATTTGATTTCTGAAATTGAAGACATCTGTCTTCATAGAAAGCTTCAATCTACCATGTAAGGGTATAGCAAGGTAAAAATTACCTCATTTTCATCTTTTACATTATACTTGAAAAATAAGACTCTCTTTATATAAGGAAAAAAAGCTTTCATTAAAGTTGAAGGGAAATACCAAAAATTTTAAGGAAGAATCATAGGAGGTACTAAAACTTAATAAAGATTGTATTTCCAAGTAACATCTTCATGCTAGTGATTTCAGCCTATTTCACATGATTTGACTCAATAAGTTAATTCATATAAGTGCATAGAAAGTAATTATACCCCCAAAATGAACAAAAGTCTCATAGGTCAAACTCAACTAGCACATAAATTACCATTTATACTTTGTTTGCATAAATAATTATCCTCTTCCTATTTCTACCACTTTCCCTGGGGAAAATGGTTTAATATTCCTGGGTCACTACTACCTTCATACATATATATAGATATTCATTTATTCAGGAAAGGGCCACAAAAGTACATTTGAAATGTCATTTGAAACCATTTTGGAAAAATAGCATTCCTTACCACCTATCACAATCATAATCATTTAAGGCTGACATTTCTCAGGGTTTGCCAATGTACCTCTCTCTTTTCACTCTAATTTTCTCTCCAGGTAATTCTGGCCACATTTATGAAAATGCCAATGATCTCATCCAGGCCTGCCAAATGGGGCTCTCCCCAAGCCAGAGCTCCACATCTTTGTAGATACCTGCCTCCTACATATCCATATCTATAATTAGTTGTCTCCTAGATGGATATGTGAGAGCATATCCAAAATGGAACTTGCCACCTCTTCCTCTTTTGGTACTCTCCTTCCATATTCCGCCTCTCAACCACTGGCCCCACCATCAACCTGGTTATCAAGGTTGGAATCTTCCCTATCATCCCATTCCCTTCAGTGCTTTCAAATGACTTCAATCAACAAATTCTACTGATAGTATCTTCTAGATCTTTCTCAACTCTATTCTCTTATGTCCCTTTCCATTGCCCCATTTCAAGTCCTAATCATCACACACTTAGGTGACTAACAACCATCTTCAAAAATATTCTCCTGCCCCTTTCTATCCACTCTGCATGCTGCAGCACATGTAATGTTTTTGAAATAGAAATCAAATCATGTCACTTTTCTGCTTAAAACATGGTAATGGCTCCCTACACCTTCAGATAAAAATCAAAATTTCTTGGTGTGGCATTTTAGGTTCTGCAAGTTTTGACCCAGCCTTCCATTCCAGCACCATCTCTTTTTGCTACACCTACATACACACCAACCCCAGACACCAACCTATATGCAGGTCCAGCCTGTGTCTGGCCTCTTTGCATTTACAAATACTCTTTCTGCAGTTTGCTATGTCCATTTTTTTTCCTGGCTTATCCTCCTACTCATCTTTCAGAATTTGCCTCCTTCAGGAAGCCTTCCTCAACACCAACCGTACTTTTTGTTCCCCTGACACCCTGTGTGTATGAATCTATGTTGTACACATCTGTCTGCCCATGTCACCTAGGAAAACTGTGTTCCTTGGGGACATGGAGTATCAGCTCCCCAGGCCTACCTAAATATGCAGAGGAATTTATTATGTGACAAAGGCGGTATTTTAAATCAGTGAATTAGTCAATAAATGATATGACAACGACAGGGTACAAAAGAGTTGGATCCATACTTTACGCAGTAACCCCAAATAAATTCCAAGTTGATCAAACATTTATATTTTAAATAAGAAATGAAAGTATTAGAGGAATTCTTTGATAACTCTGAGCGAGGAAGACCTTCCTTACTTGGATGTAAAACTCAGGAGCTATAAAAGAAAGTGTTCAGGCAAGAGTTAACCTAGCAGGTCTGAGATTGCTCTCCTTAAATCCTGCTTGCTGGTTGACCCTTGGCTGGCATCTGCAAACCTGGGTTTTGGGAGAGTTCTCACCATTCCTTAACTGCTAAGAGTGGTTTATGGTACCTGAACTGTATTTTATGCTGAACCCCTGCTTTCTTTCTGAGAGTCTGAATTTTTGGTATGCCCTAGGCAGACGGTGCCTACGTGAACAGCCCCCAATGAAAACCCTAGGTACTGAGTGTTGTCACAACTCATTGCTCAGGTAATTAAGTGTATCCTGCAAGATTCCACTGTAAGAGGACTCTGGAAGCTCAGGCCTGGTTCCCCTCAGACTTCACCCCTTGTGACTTTTCCCTTGCTACTATACATCAAACTTGTGAGTATGACTACATGTTGAGTCCTATGAGTTCTCCTAGGAATCACTGAACCTGGGGACTAGGGGACCAACATATGATTTTGGGGGAGTGAACAAAACATTCAGTCCATAACAATACCTATTTATACTTCCTGAATTTTCCATCATAGGCATACATTAGCTATTTTAAAAAATTTAAAGTAAATGATTATTGAATAAATGCCCTTTATAGACAGCAGAATATTCTTATTGATACATTGGTTGCTGCTGGTTCCCATTCATTCACTCTATTGACATTAGTATATTCATTCAATAAACACTAAGGACTTACTATAAATAAGGTATCACTGTAGAAAATGATGAGTGAGACACAGCCACTGTCTTTAAGGAGCAAGAAATTCTTCAAAGGAGTGCGACGAGGATGGAACAACTATTGATCATGTAAGGAGGAAAGTGGTAAATGCCATGAGCAGTATAGATAAAGCCCTATAGGCTCTAGAGAAGGCCAAGTTTACTTCTTACACAGATGTGCCTGGAGTGATATTTATGGCATTTGTGCTACCCTGGAAGGATAAGGTGACTTTGGACATGATAATAATGATGAAAAAAAGGCATAAATGGGAGCCAGACTCAGACACTATATGTGGCCATCAGCAAACACTTCATTCGCTTCACCAGAGTATAGGAGGGGTAGAAAAAATGGAGACTGTTCAGAGGTGGGGCCACACTGTGAAGGAGACAGAGGTTTGCATTTACATTGACAGTGAGGCAGAAACCACTGATGTTTCAGGGGCAAGGGAATGAGACCATTAGAGCTGCATCCTGGAGAGATTAGTGTGACAGAAGGCATGTGTGGGGTGGATTAGAGAAGAGATAGAACTGAGATCGGAAAATGAATTAAAGCACTATTCCAAAAGCTTAGGAGATGAAAGAGGAAAATCTGAACTAAGTCTGGGGAGGAAGAATTCCCCAGATATTGTTAAGGAAAAGGGAAATCTTCCAAAGACCCTGATTTTGGAGGATGAGGAGCAAGAGGAAATGGGGAAAGGAGGAGATAGCATCCGAGAAACTAGGACCAGGGGAGTAGGTTTGGGGGAAAGATGAGAGGCTAATTTAATCAAACATTTACCTGAAGTTATATAGCAGTTAAAGGGAAATGTAAAGTTATGAATTGGAAAGTCATGCTCAGAAAGGCAAAGCTGAAAGACAGGAAAATGAGAAAGATTGCCAAAGGGGTATATAGGACAAGAAGGGAGGGAAGAATGGACTTTTATGGAGAACCCACGGACAGCAGAAGGAAGCAAAGGAATTTAAAAAACTGTGGTACATCTACACAATGGAATACTACACTGCGGAAAAAAAGAAGGAATTCTTACCATTGGCAACAGCATGGGTGGAACTGGAGAGCATTATGCTAAGCAAAATAAGCCAGTCAGAGAAAGATAAACATCACATGATCTCACTCATTTATAGAATATACACCAAAAAGAGGTGGTCTCATTCCTGTCACGCCTCATATCTGGGCTGTGGGTTTGATCCTAGATTGAGGCATGTATGGGAGGCAAGCAATCTATGTTTCTCTCTATATCAATGTTTCTCTCTCTCCCTCTCTCTTAAAAAAAATCAATAAAATATATATTCTCAGGTGAAGATTAAGGAAGAAAGAAAGAAAGAAAGAAAGGAAGGAAGAAAAGAAGCTAGAGATGTAGGCGGGCCAGGAGACTCAGAAGCCACAGGGAGTGGTGTCTAGAAGCGTGATGGTCTAGATACCCTGAGACTTCTGGTGAAAACATCTAAAAATGCTGGATAAAACAGAAACCTTTTTTAAAAAATGCACTAATGAGCTGGCTAGGGAGGAATAAATACTCAGAAGCCAAGCACTTACTACAAACAGGAATGCAGAGAGCAAGAGAAGCACATTGGCTTTTACCTTTCAAAAGAGTGGGAGGGCGAAAAGTGAGACAATGCGTTCCAAAGTGAGTGGCTGCTGAGGACTTGTAGGCAAGCAGTAAATGTCCTGCTTCTGAACTTGGATGGCAATGTAGGGGGCGGCGCAGCTGGGACCACTGTTCCAGGAGGTGGGGGAGTGGGGAGAAAAACCGAGCGTGTCCAAAGGCTGTGAGGAAAGAGAGATGAAAAGAAGAGGGCCAAGTCTTGGAGGAGGCAGGAAGGGAAGAGATTTTGTAGTATGATTAGACCCTCAATTAGCCAAGATTACTGTTTATTAAAGAAAAAAAATGTCCTGGCTATAAAGAAAATAGAGAACTAAGACAAACATCACTCCCAAGGCTACATCTAGGCTAAAAATCAGCTCTTTCTGTGTGTGTATGCAATGTTACTTTTTCAATTCCCACCTGAAAATTAAACTATTTATTTTTATCTATTAATTCTGTAATTGGCCTAGAAAGTAAGAAATCACTACATTTCAGTCTGATTTGAAATCTCAAAGCAATTTATAAAAATTTTTCCATTTCTGAACTAAAAAGTGAGGTCACAGGGAAAAGTACCCTGTGTTCTTTATTCTCTATTTGTGAGATCACTTATCTCTCATTCAAATGATCAAAAAAGATGCACTCCCCATAACACACTTTAGAAATTTTTATGTGATTATTTTTACAAGCAAGCACAAGTGGAGTATATCATGAG